AGAGAAGTGGCGTGACATTAGTCACATGACCTCGCTCACTCAACAATATGAAACAATATGAACTGATCTGGATTTGCATCTGCTAGTCATTATGCTATTGTTATTATTATTACATTTTTAATGTGTATCTATAGTAAGAATTTATATAAAACACCACTTATTAAGTATGATGATTGGTGATGTCTGACCATCAGAATGCTCTGGACGCTTTGAACCTGTAGCTATATCAAGTGACAATCTTACTGCCAACTTCTCCAAAATTATACACATTTTTCCTGCCAAACGACCATCAACTTGCTGTGGTTGAAGATGCTTACGTCCACCACAATCACTTAAGCATTTATTTATTAACTGATCCAAAACTTTATCGTTATTGGCTCTCTGTCAGCATCATTTTGTTATTTTTTAATGAACTTTATATATTGCATATCTGCATACGCCTAGAGACGAGCTCCCTAGTTAAAATAATATATCACCCACTAGTATAAGTATTGTTTATATATTGGTTTATTTATATTAGGGAACTTTTGCATAATGAAAAAAGCTACACGTGTATAATTACCTGGAGCCTTTTATTGAAAATAAGCCAGAAACTTAGTAGGCTTACTATTGCTAAAGCATAAAACTAGAAGACATACCATTTTGGCATGTAATTACCACATATATCATTCTATTATAGCATATGTTTTTAATTTTTCATATAGTTCTAATTTGGAACAAAATAAATACGGTTGAGGTCATGTGCTAATTCAACATGTTACTTGCTGTAGCAGGATGATTGTATTATATACTTCATCATCTTGCGAATGTGGGACTGCTTTATGACCATCGCATGCAAAGATAACTTCGGCTACTTCTGTTCTAATTTTGTGATTGATCTGCATCAGCTACAGTGTGTATGTCTTGGATATTTACCCAAAGATACACAAGAGATATCTGTACTACCTGTCCCTAATTTTGAACCGATAGACAAAAGGGAAGAGAGCTAGTTAACAGCACATGCCACCAACTCTTAGGCTACTCTAATCAAATAGTGGGCAATACACTTTTTCTAACTTTTTAAATCACGATTGAAATGGGCATCTATGGTATGTAATAATGACATATCATGCAACTGAGTAACAATCAAGTGGAATTCATAGGTCACCCTCCACCGAATACAGAGGACCACAATGTCCACAATATTGTGTAGAATGGCTGTGTTCTGTCTCTGAGGTTATCTCCATATTCCACACGTAACAAACACAGACGAAAATAAGGAACATTTAACAATGTCGGTTAATTCAACAAGCTACATTGTAAAATCGTTGTTACACAGCCAGTCAATACATTGTAAAACTATGTTTTCTGACACTGAAGAGATCCGTATTTTGACAGCATAATTTAGCATGGTTATATTTTTAGTCCCTTAGCTCTTTGTTTCTCCAAACAATTTCTTTATGATTTCTACATCAAGGTATTATCAACTCTTCGGCAATCGTATACAATGTTCTTGCCTTGGCAATTTTCTATACCACTATGTACAATGACATAACAAGCTATTAATCCACTGTCGCGGAAGATTTCAGTACTGCATATATAAACGGAATAAATTCCGAATACCTTCTATTACATTCAGAATGGTACAGGCTCAGCAAGCAAGCTTCGTCAAATTATGGCCTTAAGTTAGAGCCTAGAAAAAAATCAAAACAAGCACATGTCAGTAATTCAAGAGTATACGTATATTTTGTGACAAAAGTGGTAAATGTAAAAAAAGAATCCAAATCATGATTGACAAAGTCCAGCAAACTTCACTTTACACGTGCACTGTCACAAATCATGCTTCATCAATCACACAAGACGAAGGCCTAGCACAAACTATGGAAAGTGATGATGCTGACATGCACTACTTAATTACAGAGATAACTGCTTATATAATGTTATTTGGTCATGTTAGGTTAGGAAAACTATTTTTCCTAAACCTCATGTTGCATCAAAGGTTAAGCTGACTAAAAACCGATCTCCATGAAATCCCATGGAATTATTGTAGTTCAGATGAACCTGGTGACAGGCTTCAAATTTTCCCCAATCACGGGAGACTTTTCATCGTGTCAATTAACCTGACAGTTTTTACTCTAGCTAAAGAATAAAGGAAGAGTTATACTCATATACAGACATAACATCCATGCTGAGTAAGGCTATTCTGCATCTGTAAAATGAGAAATACTTAATTTATATTGAGCAGATCTGGTCTCTGCAGCCAAAGGGACTGGATAAAAATTATGTAACACTGCCTTAAAACTTGTAAATCTTTTTGTCAGGAAAAAGAACTAAAATACCTCCTTCAACCTTTGTGCTGAGTCCAATGTGGTGTTTTTCACAAAATCTAGCGTATGACATAAACAAAGAAGTGGTAAAGGCAGCCAAGCAGGTTCTTTTTTCTTGCGATATAAAGTCACTGAAAGGAAATGCTTAACTTATCAAAACCTTGAACCATCTGTCACGACAACGGAAGTCACGTGGCGCTAGTAACACGTCATGA